GGCGCACGTCTTTAATCCCAGCACTCGGGAGGCAGAGGCAGGTGGATCTCTGTGAGTTCGAGGCCAGCCTGGTCTCCATGGTGAATCCAGGACAGCTGGGGCTACAGGGAGACATGAAATGCTTCTTTTAATTAAAAAATAAATTAATTAATTTAAAAAAATTTTTTTCTTCTAATAAATGTTCCTTCTACACTGTACTTTTGGCAATGTGTATGTCTACAAAACCTGAAGGGAATCAAAACACTCCAGTCATTTCAACTTAAGCTGAATCTATTCCGATAGATACCAACAAGAATTACTTCTTAGGAACAGTCTGTTAAAGAAAAATTGAGAAGTCAATACAAGGCCTTGCGCAAACATAGTGATTTCTGATATTTTTCCTCTCTTTTTCCAGTGAACATCTAGGTACCTTGCCTGAGCTTCAGGGAATTCTCCAGGTACTCGTCTGCTGTGAGGCACTGTCCATCTGCTTCCAGCCTTAGAGTCATATCCCTCAGGGTCCACACGAAATCAGGGAAGAAGCTCATGAAGTCCGCTGAATCCTCAACTCCATTGGCATTAGGTGAGGATGTTGCTTTGATCCGATCTGTCAGCTCTGTCACATAGCTGACTAGCTAAGGAAAAGTTGTGAAACAAACAGGGTCCCTAACTTTCTCATTTCTGAATCTCATTTATTCCCACTGCCCTTGAATTATTTTTGCTGCTTTTTTTTTTTTTTCAACCTTGACTCTGCGGATTTCACAGGCTGCTGTCTTGGTAACAGAGCCCCCGCCCCCTTTTCTTTTGATGCTCTGTTCCATGAAAAAGATACTGCAGTTGGTCCATGGCCTGCTGGTTGATGGCTCCCATGCTATTGTACACAAAGGTACTGCTCAGAAGTATTGCCAGGGCAAAGATCCAGCAGTCATTCTGGTTGTCACCCTGGAAATCAGAACACATGAGTCAGGCATATGTTTTGTTCCTGTGTCACTTTCCAGATCAACAGTGACAAACATATGCTCAGTTAATTACAGTTGTTCTAGAATTGAAAAAAAATTTTTACACGATGCAAAGCACTCAAATTCAACACAAATAATTGCCCATAGGACTTAGAAGTTGAATATTTTTTATTGGCAGTTTGGGGTTTTAATGAGTATCATTGGTTCTGCTGGCCTGATGTTAGTATTTACAATACTATGTACAAACCACATTGTTCTTGTAAGATCCTATCTTGTGAAAATTTTCCTTGACTCTGGTAGTTATTCACATGCCATATAAATATAAAGTAAAGACTCTTTTAAAAAATTTCATTATTTTTGTTTTATGTGTATTCATGTATTGCCTGCATGTAGGTAAGTGTACCCAGGTCGTGCAATGCCCGAGGACAGAAGAAGCCATCGGATCCCCTCGAACTGGAGTTATGGACAGTTGTTAGCCACCATGTGGGTGCTGGGATTTGAACCCGGGTCTTCTGCAAGAACAGCCAGTGTTCTTAACTGCTGAGCCATCTCTCCGGCCCCA